GAAATAAAATTTAAGTGGCATTCTGTGATATCGAGATAGAAGCCGTTTATTGAGCTGAACTTGGTTATTTGCATGGTATTTAAAAATGAATAGCCTAATTTTTTGCCTTCCCCTTAAGGGGGGGCCCCAACCCTACTTTTAACCTCGATTAAGAATCAAAATGCAGATGCGTTGTCGCCGTTCGAGGACTAAGATGGAATGCCTCGATTGCAGTAAAACGAGTCTCCGGTTCTCTACACTCATCATACGAAACGCAGCAAGCAAAGCTGCTATTCTACGCTGGTATTCTGTGAGAGCGTGGTCCTTCCCCGGTCGAGCCGACCCATTCGTGCTACAACCATAATAGCTGCAGCGTGGCTCTACCGCATATAAAAGATACTATAGATAATAATGATAGAGATGTAGGTAATATAAAATAGTAGATAAAGAATAGCTGAACCGGTAGCAATCAGACTTCACAATCAGATAGAAAGTAATGCCATGTGATCTAGGCTGTATTTTTTCCGGAAAACCTGGGACGAATCTGATGCTGCCTTCTTGTATCTGACGGCAACAACTTTAGAGATTTCTCCGCAATTTATCGTAGGCAAGAGAGATTATTTTTTAGATTTTGCTCTGCACTTTTACGAACCCCACGGGACGTGATACTCATAGGTTGGTACGGTAAATAAGCATGTAGCTAGCAAGAATTCGTAACCCTTTTAATTCTTTGGTAATACTTAACACTAACGGTTTACGTAGTAGAGACCACGCTGCAGCTATATTGGGTAGTAGTATAGTTGTAGCACGAATGTGTCTGCTCGACCGGGTTAAAACCACCCTCTCACAGAATACCAGCTTGAAATTGCGGCTTAAGCTTGCTGTGTTTCGTATGGTGAGTGTATAGAACTTCTGGCCCTTTACTGAAAACGAGATATTTTATCTAAATCCTCAGGGATGACAACGCATCGGCATTTTGATTCTTAATCGAAGATATATGTAAATGTCTATGGGCCACACCATCCACTTATCATCCGGTGGACTGTGTGGCCTGTGAACTCGTTTGACGCCCTCATTCTATAAAAAAAATTACGACCCGCCCCGGGCTTCGCCTGGTAGGATCTACCAGGGTGGTCTGAAGTTTCCAACCTCAATGTGAAGATGGTAGCGCTCGTCATCTGCATCTTTTAACAGTTACGCACCAAAATTTCAGCTATTTTGGATTTGGACGCGTAATTATTATTTCACAGTCGTTTGAGTCGGTCGATGTGAGTGTTTTTGTGATAATGGAAAGAACTGAGCATAGAGCTGTCATTAAATGTTTATTTTTGAAAGGCAATACGCCTACGCAAATCAAAGATGAGTTGGACTCTATTATATTTATCACAGTGAAATTTTGTGCAGCTGAATTCGAACTTGGCCGTGAGAGCTTGGGAAACGATGAACGTGCGGGACGTCCAAAAACTACAACTATTGAAGATAACATCGCTAAAGTTCACCAAATGATGCTAGACGACCGCCGAATTAAAGTGAGAGAAATAGCAGAGGCTATGAAAATATCCTAATATAGATACAGAACGTGTTTATCACATATTACATCAAGATTTAGGCATGAGCAACGTGTCAGCGAGAACGTTATTATGAACATTTCCAATGCTCTGTTGGTGCAGTTTAGGCGCAATAAATACCAGTTTTAGCGCCGATTAATTACTGTAGATGAAACTTGGATACACCATAATACGCCCAAAACAAAAACACAGTATACAGTCAAAACAATGGACTGCAAAGGGGGAACCGGCTCCTAAAAAAGCAAAAGCTGTTTTTTCGGCTTGGAAAGTGATGGCGATAGTTTTTTGAGATAGTCACGGAGGGATCTTAATCGATTATCTTCAAAAAGGAAAACCATTACAGGCCATACTACGCGTAGTTACTTGACAAACTGAAGGCAGAAAATGCGGAAAAACGGCCTGCTGAAAAATAAAATCCTGTTTCACCATGACAACGCCTTCTCCGCCTCATCGGTTGCCATGGAGAAAATCCACGAATTACGGTTTGAACTGTTTGACCATCCGCATTACTCACCAAATCTAGCCCCAAGCGACTTCTTTTTGTTACCTTATCTAAAAATTGCGCTCGGCGAACAGATAATATGTTCGGCAAATGAGGGGGCAATCACCTTCGTGAACAATTATTTTGTAGAAAAACACGCCGAGAACTATTTGGAAGGGTTAGAAAGATGGGAGCATGACTGAGAGAAGTGTGTAGAGTTACAAGGAGACTATGTAGAAAAATAAAAATAAATTTTAAGAAAAAATGTCTTGCATCTTTGTCAGGTCAAAAACTTTTTACACCACCTACGTATTAATAATGTTAGTGGCGTTTTTTTTTTTTAGATTTAAAATAATCTATTAATTTTATCCACTTTTCGTTTTTTTTTCAATCTGTTTGTAAAGTTTCAACACAATTGGTTCAGTCATTCCGAAGATTATATTCATAAAAGATAGCTTGATCTCTGCTACATCTGTCATTAAAATCACGCCTACGAAGTCCTGAATTTCTTAGTAGTACAGACAGCTGTACCTGTCAATGTCATACTTTATGGGCATGCCGACCTAATTAGTGCATGCCCATAAAGTATGACATTGACAGGTACTGTCTGTACTACTAAGAAATTCAGGACTTCGTAGGCGTGATTTTTACTGACAGCTGTCGCAGAGATCAAGCTATCTTTTATGAACCATAACGCGATTACTTCGCTTATATCGTAACAGCATTCAAATAACCCCCTGAGCTTATTAGAATTTAGTTATAACTTGTGGCACGTAACTCTAGCGCTGAACGAAACGTGGAAGGGATAGCTACGAATGACGAAATAAAATTAATAGAATCAGTACGGGGGACGGAATGCGCCTGGAGAGCCAATCAGCGCACGCGAACGATACACACAGCCAATCATAATAACGGTCACCGCTAGACTTTCGTGCCGCGAGTTGTATTTCAATAATACAGACAGACACTTCAATTTTATTTATATGTCTAAAGATAATTAACAGTAAGTAACTGTCGGAATAATTATATCAACACTAATTTTATAAAAGTAATATTAATCCACATTGGCACAGGTTAACTAGGTCATTGGTTTATTAATGGTGAACACGCGAGTTATTGTTTTCTTGTATTTTTAACTAGCTTAACTAGCTTTTTAACTAGCTGTACCCCGCGTGTAATTTAGTGTTTTAATATTTTTGGGGGTACTCTCTAATTTTTTTTTTCTTAAATAAAAGTAGCCTAAGTTACTCTTTGTAACATCGGCTACGTACTCATGAAAGTACTGTCAAAATTGGTCCAGCTGTTTCAGAGATTAGCCGGAACAAAGAGACAGACAGAGAAAATTTTAAAAATTGTTTCTTATTATAAGTACTATATATATATTCATATGCATTAAGTATAAAGTTGTTATTTTGAAAATACAAACAGACACTTCAATGTCATTTATTTGTATAGATAAAAATACCAACAATGTTATTAAACAGTACTAACATAAGCTTTAGAATAGAATATAATAGAATGATTTTTATTCAATATAGATTATTACATAATACTTATTAGTGATTTTTTTTATTTTCCACTGGAATCACCTCTGTCCTGGAAAGAACTAGCAAGAAACCCAGCAGGACTTTTTAAACATATTTTACTGTGCAATAATTTCGTATGTACAATTTTTAAATGAATTTTAATAGAACCAGCATGGTGGCGATCACCGCATTCCCAGGGGTTATTTTCATTTATATACATAAATAAACATAACACAAACATAAACACTTTGATATTATAATAACCTTTTTTGTACATTTTGTTTTTGTAATAGACAATTAAACTTAATTAACTTTATAAAGTTTTTACGATAATATTAATATTTTCGGAGTTATGTATTTTTAAAGGTTTGAAAATCCCAAATTCGCATTTTTATTCAGTAAAAATATATATTTTTGTTTTTCATCAAAAAGTATTAAAAAAATCTTTTATATTTTTATTCTATTTCTTTATATATTTTAATGAGTTAAAAAAATTAATATTGTAAATAAAAAATATTAATTTTCTAAGCCATAGACTAAACGAATTTATCGACAACGTTTTTCTTTTCGTTACTGGCACATCAATAAAGGTGTCTATTATATACTGAATTAAGAAGTGGTAAAATTAAAATGTTGTATAACCGACTTCAATATAATTAAAATGAGAACATCAACAATGTATTAGAAGTCAATGAAATATGCATTATTAAAGATAACTCAAACGACTGGTCACATCTTGATTAAATTTATATGGGACCACACGAGAAGCACCAGCTTTGAGATCATTAAAATCGGTTCACCCAAAGAAAAGTTATGAGGCACACTAAAAAAAACATAAAGTCGAATTGAATTCCTTCTCCTTTTTGAAGTCGGTATAAAACGGCAACCACTTTGTAAAAGAAAGAAGGTGAAAATAATATACGTCATGTGTATAAAGACTTCAGCTATAAGAATTTTGTTTCTATTTTTTGACTCTCTGTATGCTAGAAATTACTCTAAGATTTTTAATGAATCAGAAAAGTATGCGTATTTGGGATTTTTCAAAACTCATTACTCCGCAAAATATTAACTATATCGTAAATAGTCATATGATCTTTTTTATTCGTATTACATCAACGAATGTATAAAAAATATTGTTTGAAAATAACAAGTCCTTGCAATTGAAAAATAAAATAGGTTTAAACAATAGGTATGGCACCGAGTTGCCTGCCTGAATCACACACATCATCAGTAGGAGTGACATGCATTTACATCATCAGATTGAAGAGAATCGCATAAAAAATGAGGTGAAATTGCTGTCGGTACCCATGCGCCAATTCCTCTTGGACTAATAAATAAATTACTAATTCCGTGGAGTCTAGTAACTTAAAATTTAAATGATTTTATAAGGGGTGGTTTAAGTCAGCAGTCGAATGGTGGATTCGAACCTAAGACTTCGAAGCTCACCTTAAGAGACGCTCCCGGTAGCACACGACGGTGCGCCGCTCGTCGCTGAACCCGATGGAGAATGTGGCGAGGTCAGGCCGCGCCAGGCGCTCCACGCACCGGTGGATCAGGAAGCGCCGGTAGTTGCTCACCGGTGGGAACACCAGCACGCTGACGGGAATGTACACCAATGTATAAGAGACTAGTTAATGATATAGATTACAGACAGCGAAACTTAACACAGTGGAAGCACTGACATTATTAAAACTTTTGTACCTTTATTGTGGCCATCATTGATATTTTATTGTGCCAGGAAGATCGAAATTGAGGGTTACTTTTTAATAAGAATTTATAAAATTTAAGTCAATATAAAGAAACCAGACGTTTCTCTATTTTTATAAAGTCGTGTTTTATCTTACGAGCTGTTCTTCAGTTGAAGCAGTGCACGATTAGATCAATAATAATACCATTAATAAAACAAAATACGTAATGTTGCAACAACTTACAAATGGCATACAATAATCTATCTATTTAAAACACAAAAATGTTTCTACCTATATCCGTTATACACTGAAACCATCCAACCAATTATGATGAAATTTCTTATGTTTGAATGGGTCCCTAGATGGTTTGTTAGAATCGAGATCTAGAAGTCACCTGTGTGAAACCGTGGCGGACATTGTCTCCTTAAAAAATTACCCTAAATTTCAGATATTGTAATAAAAATGGTTTGACATGCACTTCTTTGTACCGTACTTCGTTTCGAGGTTTTTATTTAATATAAGAATGGAACATTTTCACATTTAGACAATTTCATTAGCGCCGGCGAGGATCGAATCCGGGTTTCACGCGTACTGTGAAATTCACAGTGAGCGCTTAACCCCTGAGCTACCACGGCTCGAGAGAAATAGAAGAGTTTATTTTATGACGGCGATTTTATTGTAGCTACCACCCAGTTAATTTCGTGAAAACCCCTATGTATTTGGGATGGGATTGTGAAAAAAAAGTATGGAAATATGTAAGACATATACGCCGGGAATACACAGAAAACCTCACGTATTCTACTACTCCGGTGTAACCAAACATGTTTGGCTTTGTCTGGTCAAAAGTTTAAACTGTGATAGTAAAAAAAGAAAACACATAGAATACTGTGACAAACGAGCACACACCACCTGTAGTAAGTGGATGCTGTGGCCCATAGATATCTACATTTATCCTCAATTAAGAATCAAAACGCAGATGCGTTGTCACCCATGAGGACTAAGATGGAATGACACGATTCCAGTAAAAAAGTGTCTCCGTATCTCCACACTCACCATACGAATCACAGCAGCATTGAGATGCTATTTTACGCTAGTATTCTGTGAGAGCGTGGTTCTTCCCCGGTCGAGACGACCCATTCGTACTACAACCATAATATATAGCTGCAGTGTGGTTCTACCACGTAACGTTAAACCCAAAAAGCCAAAAACAAAACAGCCAGAAGCGAAAATTCTAAATTGAATGTAGTATGTTGCAAAATGAAATGATTTTAAGAATTGTATTGAAATCACATTGAAACAGATTTTATTTTAATTGCAAGAAGTCAGGCTTCAGTTCAGCTTTCTAGCAGTTCAAAAAAAAGGAGGAGGTATATATTAATCAATTGTCAACCCTTTTTGATGATTCTTTTCTCTTGGGTTATACTTCAGGGCTGATCACATATAAATTTAGAGGAAATATTCACCCTTAAGAGTAACAAAACAGAGAATGAAGATTTTATAAGTGTTTGACGACATGTGACGATTGTTATATTCTATACTTTTATTTAAAGGTAAAAATAACTTTTTTTTTAATAAAAGCCGATATCAAAGAACTAAAGAATAAAATAATTTCACATTCTGCTGTTGGGGCTTAAATTATTTTATACACTGTCTTAACATCAACTTCAGAATGAGTTTTTTTTTAATTCTATGTATTTAGCTTTTACACCGCGTTCCCACTTATCGGGCCCGACAGAAAATAGGCTGCTCTAGTAGCAAAACATTTTATATGAAATCAAATCTTCAGGTTTTATATTATTTTTTCCATTATTACGAAACGCCAAACGTGTGCGTACAATATCTTGGTGTTACAAAAACGCAAGAACTCTAAATGCGCGTCGCGATATAACGAGTTCCCCACCTAGATACCCGACATAATGTGAACACTTGGCTTTCAGCTTAGAAGAAAATCTCACTTTTAGCCCAACTTTTTCAGTAGAGTCCGTTAAAATGTTAATACTTCGCCCAATTTTAACGGACTCTACTGAAAAAAACTTAACTACGCTAGTTTGGCAAGTAGCTTTAAAAGTTGGCTCATTTGATACGGAATCCAAAATGGTATGGCACGTGCAAAATTACTTCTTGCTAACTCAGTTATCAAAAAAAATTTATTACTTAAATAATTCTAGTGTATCCAAGGCTTTCCTCAAGGGCGTAAATTTAAATTTTAAATTTGAGTGAGATGAAGAAGTGTAAGCGAGACAGGAATCTAATATTTTCATATAGGGCACCCACAGGACATTAATGGACTTTTTTTGCTTTTAGTTTAGGATTGGTTTAAAAAAAGAGTTTTAAAGTAAACATCAATTATTGGATCCTAAAATTTATTTCAACACATGTTCAAACTGCCTTTCTTCAGACGCAACACCAGGTCGACATCTTAAAAAAGATCGCGCTATCAGACTGCTTCCGTTATTGTATGCCGTAGTTTAGCTACATTTTCGATTGACTTTAAGTAAACTTTTTCTTTCACCGCTCCCCAGTAAAAAAAATCTAGTGGATTTAAGTCAGGTGAACGGGCGGGCTGGCCACGAGATTGTACCAGACCGACCTATCCATCTGCCCGGGTATTTCTCATTGAGATATTTCCTGACTGAACAGGCGTAGTGTGCCGGACAGCCGTCTTGCTAGAACCACCCAGGTAAATGCTTTTGTAAAAAATCCAAATAAACCTAGCCATTCAAGACTTCTGGCAGCTCAAAAGGTCCAATGATTTTTCCATTTAAAAATCGGGTCCACATGTTTATTTTGAAACGATACTGTGATCTAGTCTTGTGAAATGTAGATCTTCTACATGCCACTCGTGTAAGTTGTGTAGATTCATGTAACCATCTGTTTTAAATGTCGACTCATCAGACCATAAAAATTTCTCGAAAAATCGAGGAACTTCCCAGTATCTTTGTGTCATCTTTTGACAAAACGCAACTCTAGAAAGGTGATAATCCCGGGGTAGTAAAGTTTGTTCTCGCTGCACGTGATACGTCTGGAACTTCTTTTTTTGCAAGATACGGGGGGCTGTAATTTTGGGTACTCCTGTACTTGCTTTAATTACACGTACTGAAGTACTCGGATTTTCTTCGATTGCTTGTAGTACGATGTCGTCGTAATGAAAAGAATTTCTTCCTTCACCACGTACTTGGGTTAGACAATCAGCCCTCTGAGCGTAAACGATGCACATTTGTAAAATCTCGATGATCTGGATGAGCAGCAGCATTGGGGTACCCACCACGATACTCCAGCTGCAGCAGTAGCATTGCCTATGCATTCCCCAGAAATAAAATGCATGTTGACATATTCCTGTGTGGTGTCCAACATCGACTATTGTCTCACGCGCATTAGTCGAATGGTGTATCTATCCATCTCACACATTAAGTTGATATCTCAAAAAAATGATGGTTTTTCTATTTCACATATTTCTTTAAGTTTTATAGATTACAAACCAAATTTTTGGCATATTATTTTTAACTATATGACCTTGGATTGCATAAAAGTAAAACACGATATAATGTAATTTTCTCGATAGAAAAAAATTGCAGTAGACTCTAATTAGTTACATTTCTGCATGACACCGCAATATATTTACGAATAAGTTCATGGAATTATTTTTAAGGCATAATCATATCTAAGTTCTCATAAACCATTTTTTTAATCCATAACGAAGTTTTGTTGAAAAAAATAAAAATGTTGTTTGGCGCTTACTTAGTTTTTTTCCGAGCGTGTGCTCGGTATAGCTATCTCATAATTTACGTTTTATGAAATCATTGCATCACCTTCATTTTGACACTCCCTCAGTCGTCCGTGAGCTTCACCGACAAAAGAATAAGCCACGCCCCCAAAACTACGGTTTATTTTCATGGTATCCTCTTAATAAAAGTGATGTCATTATCTGTCTTGCCCACATTTAGTAAAATTTCTTTCTGTCTCTAACACATAAGTAAAAGTGGTGGCACTATCTGTCTCGCTCGCACTTCATAAAATGACTCTTTCAGTCTCTCTCCATCTCAAGCAAAATAGAACCTAAAAGTTAAGGCCTTAAGGAAAGCCTTGATCACACTAGAATCATTTTAAGTAAGTAAGAAGAAAGTGTCAAAACTAGGTTTCTTTACAAAATAAAAATTGTCCAAGAAATAATCCAGCAAGTGAAAGCAAGTTCCTAATTGGAAATTCTTATCCAATGCGCCAACTTTTATGGTGGCTGTGCTCGTCTCGTTACTTCGTGTGCCTCTCGTCACATAAAAGCTCGACACTAGAATACACCATGTATACAATCGCTGTATCATTTGAACTCCGTATGCCCGCTGAGATGGACCTATATGAAACTGTTGCTGCATTTTACCTTTGAGCTACTATAATTTTTTATACATTTACTAAAAAATAAAATTAATTAGCCATTGCGAAAAAGGAGATGGTGGATGGTTTCTATTTACCATAACAGAACCATGTTTTTCAGTACAGTCAGTTAAAATTGGGCGAAGTATTAACTTTGAATGCTTAGTGGGGCTAAAAGTGACATTTTCTTCCTACCTGGAGCAGTTGGCTTCAAATTTTACACAATAACTTACAGAAACATTACTTAGGATTACATAATAAAAAAATAAAGATTTGTAGTAACTGGTGTTAAGAGTAGATTTTCTCGATTTTTTTAAAATGCCCATTATTTTTAAAAATAAATGTTTTAAATATTTTATTTTCCTGATAACTATCATGACTGGACCGGAAACTGGTGATAGGCTATATCACCAGTTTCCGGCCGGACGTCGATTTCTGGGACAACCTGTACAAACTGTGGTTCTGAATGCACCTGACGACTGTGGCAAAAATCCTCCTAAGAGGTCTGTGGGAGAGGCCTTTGTTCAGCAGTGGACCTTTAAAGCGCTGGAATATGTACAAGAAGGAATAAAAAATACAAATTAGCCACTATATAGAATTTATTATAGGATTCATGGAACCAGCAAAATAACCTTGTTTTAATAGATAATATAATACAAAGAGACATTCCTCACTCCCAGTTTCTGGTCGTGTAGGGTAGTGTATCGCCGACACGGACACGCCTACTAAGAAAGTTCCCTAATAAGTTATGTTTATAATTTTTATATATTTTTAAGATAAGATATATGTATATTGCAATGAGCCAATGTTCTTTATTGTATAGAATGTGGTAATAAACAATGTATATTATTACCACACGCTGCTTTGATCAATCATGGTTCATCATTCATGTGACAACACGAATGTTTTGTTAAATCCCATGTTGTGCTGATTACTGTGCTTATTAGAAGTGCTGACTAGTAATGATGTAGAAGATCTTCTGATCGTTTTTTGAAATCTACTTGACATTAAATTTATTACATGATCTAAAAGTTAAAGATATAGCCTATATACATCCCACCGCCAGGCACAGGCCATCCATGATTTCTGAGAGGGTTTTAGGAGGGTATGTTAAATCAGCACTTAAAATTGCAACTAACAATTTCATTGGTGCTGGCAGGGATTAAACCCGGACTACTCGTATAACCGTGAAATTTACAGCGTGTGCCAACTATCTGAGCTACCTTTGCATAATTGTTAGTGTATCTGTTAGTGATTGTGTAACTTTTGAAGACATGGCCAATTGAGGTCACATTCATAGTTTATTTGTTTTGTCGAGAAGATAGTGCATAGCCATGCTAGTACCAGATCAGTGGAGCTGTAAACAAGTTATAAACAAATTATTTATGAACAATTCTTTATTTATCAATGTTACCCATATTCACAATGTATGTTGGTTTAGTGCCCAATGAGAAAATCACAAAATATGGATCCAATAGGTGGTGAAGTTATTAATAAATTTTATATTTATACTATATAAAGTTGGAGTACATTTTGGAGAAAATCATCAACACTTCCTACTCAAAATGGTAGAACAGTCTGTATGAGCAGTTACATTACATTATATAGATATTTTAATAAATAACTAAAACAAATAAAAATTAAAAAGACATTATAATAGTTTAATAAAAGCCTATTAAAAAACTGGCTATATGCATTTTATTTATTTTTTAATTAAAAAGGCAAACATATAATATACTAATTTTTATGTATATAAATTTTATGTGGCTAAATTAGATCCTGAGTTATAACAAAAATATTTAAATTAATGAATTAAAACAACACACAAATAAACGTGATAAAACAATGCCAAAATGAAAGTGGCATAATATTTCTATTTAATGGAAATTTAAAAAAAATTAACTATTATTAAAATACACAAGCCCACTTCACAGAGAGCCTTTTTATTCCGGAGACCCTTTTTACTGGAAATGAGGCATTCCATCTCAGTCCTCAGGGGTGACAATGCATCTGCATTTTGATTTTTAATTGAGGATAAATGTAGATGTCTATGGGCCACAGCACCCACTTATTGCTAATAAAAAAAAAACAATAGAATAAAATTGCATTATTTCAAGTTAGTGCTAAGACATAGTTTTTTGAAAAGTTAAAGCCTAGCTTCTTTTTAACCCTTTGGGGTGAAATATAGAATATCACAATATCAACATCCTCCATATTGCCATCCCTTTGGGGTAAGATTTTTTCCCTCTAAATATGTGGAAGCGTCCCTGAAGATTTATATATACAATGTTAACCTATTTAGTAATAAAATAACCAACAAAATCGGTTCCTAGTCGACGAAGTTAACGCATAGCATACATACAAAAAAAAAACAGTAGAATTGCAAACCAACTCCCATTTTTTAAGTTAGCTAAAAATGCCTTAAGTACCTAATTAGCTGCAGATGTTACAATGTCGAACATATAATCATATTAACGGAAGAACTATACGCACCAAAAATTCGAAAATTTTATCAATAAAAAAATTAAAGAATTGGGCCCAGATCCAAAGCAATAGGTGACGTTATTTTTTCTTACGTTCATCAATCCAAGGTATCCAAGGTACCGGGAGTGTTTCGCTCCATTTGATCACATCCTACGTCCGGTAAGCGGTCGACATTATAACCTTGAAACTATACAAGAATAAATTACAATATCACGCAGACTTTAAAACACTTTCTACGCAATTCAGCAAGATTTCACAACACACAAATATAATTTACTAACCAAAAATACAGTAATTTAAAGCATTTTGTTTACCTGTCAACTTTTTTCTCTGTTAAAAAACATTTTAGGTCGTCATTGACATCTTCGACGAAGCTATCGTCCGCTAAGTTCAAAAACCTCTCCACTGTTTTGGCACCCAGTTTGGCGACGAATCGCTTGTTTTCAATTAGAAAAATAAATTAATTTAAAAGACACGTGTAGACTCGGAAACTATCGGCAGAACATTTTTATAATTTTCAATACGGACGGCACCAACACCACCTGCAAAATACCGCGACTGCCCGCGACCATAGATAAATTCTTGTACATACAACTTATAATTTGTGAGATAAATAAATATGTAGCAAGCCCGCGACCGCGACGCACACAAACAAAACCAGTGTTGCCATTACTATATTTGGAAAGAGAGCTAGAAGGATATGAAAAAAGAGCTAATTATTTTAGTAAAAAAGATTTAATAAAAAAGTATATTAAATTGCTTATGTTGACATAGCGTAACATTTAAGTTGATGTCTAATAATCTTTAACCTGTTTTAAGGTATTTGAAACCGATAATTGATTCACTTTTAATAAAATGCGATAGTTGTCTGGTAGTCATTATCTAAGTTGCTTAATAATGCCTATCGTAAAATCTACGCACTTATCTCTAAATTACTTTTCGTCTTCTGTTGAAAATCTATTTGTATTTGTGATCTTTCTAAGCTTGTTTTTTTTTTGAAACCTAAATAAGGATGTGGAACGAAAAACCTTTTAAATTATTAACTTCAAAAATATTATGTTGGGGTTGAGAACTCTTCCACTAATAGATTCAATAAAGATTATAAAATTGTTTAATAATTTACTAGGGTAAATATTGGCATTGGAAAAGCTTCAAAAGACTTTTCAAGTGATCCAAAACGGAATATATAACAATAACAACAAATATGCGTCGTAACATTTTTCAGAAGTTTTCGTGGCGTTTAAATGTAGTTTTGATTCTGTCCATTGATCCAATACTTTTTTAACTGCTGGTTTTATTAAACTATTGGTTCATTTATATCGTTCACACATGAACATAATAGACACAGACTAGGTAGTAATAGCTGCGTTCTATTTATAAAAGATTCGGATACACGCTTAACCAATACCTGAAAAATTTACATTATTTTTTCACGGTAGAGTAAAATTCTGTAAAAGAGCTATGGATCTAAATACGTTTTTTGGAGCTAACTCTATGTAAGTAGAGCTGAATTGAGCTCTAAGAAGCTAAATTGGCAACACGGAACAAAACATATTCATCATCATCATCATCATTACAGCCCTTCACAAGTCCACTGCTGAACATAGGCATCCCCCCGAGTAATGCCATAAAGCATGGTCCAGAGCCACCTGCATCCATCGACTTCCTGCATGTCTTACCAGGTCGTCACTGCTTCTAGTGGGACGACACCCCACACATCGCCTACCGGTACGAAGCTGCCACTCGAGAACCTTTCTTCCCCATCGGTTATCGGTTCTTCGTGCTATATGGCCGGCCCATTGCCACTTCAGCTTACTAATCCGTTGGGCTATGTCGGTCATTCTCGTTTATTGTGGATATCCTCATTTCTGAGTCTATCACGCAGAGAACCTCCGAGCATAGCCCTCTCCATAGCTCGCTCAGCGAACTTGAGCGTCCTCATACGGCCAGCAGTGAAGGACCACGTCTCAGATCCGTAAGTCATCACTGGCAACACGCACTGGTTGTACAATCTAGTTTTCAGAGTTTAAGGTATACCTGACGAGAAGATGTGTCGTAATTTCCCGAACGCTGCCCAGCCGAGTTGAATCCGTCAATTAACCTCTCAGACGAAGTTGGACTTACCTAGTCGGACTATTTGTCCCAGGTAAATGTACTCGTCAACAAATTCAAGCACAGTGCTCCCAACAACTACCGGCATAGGTGTGATACGGACATAAAACATGATCTTTGTTTTGTCCATGTTCATCTTAAGACCTATCCGTTGGGAGACACCATTGACGTCATTGAGCATAGTGCCTAGGTCCTCCAGCGCTTCTGCCATAAGGACTAATCGTCAGCAAATCGAAGGTGAGTGATGTACTCGCCATTGATGTTAATACCCTGTCCTTTCCAGCCCAGTAGCTTGAAAACGTCTTCCAACGCAGCGGTGAAAAGTTTCGGGGATATAACGTCGCCCTGTCTTACACCTCTCTGCAGTTGGATAGGTTTCGAACTCTGGTTCTGTACTCGGATAGCCATCGTAGCCGTACTGTACAAACACTTCAGCACTTCGATATACCGACAGTCAACTTGGCACCGCTGAAGGGACTGTAGCACCACCCAAATTTCTACGGAATCAAAGGCTTTCTCATAGTCCACATACGCCAGGCAAAGTGGCAGATTGTACTCTTCGTTCTTCTGAACCAGCTTGTTCGGTAGGCTGGAAGTCGTCGAGTCTGCGTGCGAGACGATCCGTAATGACTCTCGAAAACAGCACGTAGACGCGGCTCTGAAGGGAAATCGGTCTGTAGTTCTTCAAGAGAGCGTTGTATTGTGTGTTTTGTTGTGTACAGCCCTTCACAAGTCCACTGCTGAACATAGGCCTCCCCTGAGTAATGCCACAAAGCATAGTCCAGAGCCACCTGCATCCATCGACTTCCTGCATGTCTTACCAGGTCGTCACTGCTTCTAGTGGGACGAAACCCCACACATCGCCTACAGGTATGAGGCTGCCACTCGAGAAACTTTTTTTCCTATCGGTTTTCGGTTCTTCGAGCTATATGGCCAGCCCATTGCCACTTCAGCTTACTAATTGAACAAGATTCACCAATCTAAAGCTCAAAAAACACCTTTTTCTCACTTAAACCAACTTGTAAACTCCTTAGATCGCTACAAACTGTCAAAGTTGTTTAGCAAAGTGTAGTTTGCTAAATAAAAAAACCGGCACGGAGAAAGGCACAAACAATTACTCCACTCTGTCTCCTTTCTATGCACGACGTATGCATAAATCTATCTTTTTCGTGTGCGAATGCGAAAGAAGGTATCAATTTGTCTATAGGTTTCTCTGTCTACGATATCTCTACGGTCCAAAAATATTATAATATACTACGGTCAATGCCGTAGCCATAGAATCGATTAAAATAATCGATGATATATAATTATTTTCGATGAAGGCTATCGTTTAATTAAACCTGATTTCTATCTCACAGATATAATTTTTTTTATAGAAGAGGGGGCAATCGAGCATGCGGTTCACCTGATGTTAAGTGACTACCGCCGCCCATGATCAACCGCAACACCAGGGGAATTGCAGGTGCGTTGCCGGCCCTTAAGAAAGGAGTAAGCTCTTTTCTTGAAGGTCCCCAGGTCGTATCGGTTCGGAAAAATCGCTGGTGGTAAACTATTCCACAGAGAGGTCGTACGCGGAAGAAAACTCCTTTTGAAACGTACAGTGGTGGACCGCCAAGCATCCAGATGGTGTGGATGGTATCGGGACGTTTGCCGCGTAGTGCGTTCAAGAAATTTGGCTGGGATTAATCCGAACAATTCCTCAGAGCACTTCCCATGATATATGCGAAATAAAATGCAAAGAGATGCAACATCTCTCCGCAGCGCCAGTGAATCGAGCCGATCGGAAAGCACTCGGTCGTCGACGATACGAACCACTCTGCGCTGGATGCAGTAAAGTGGAAGGAGCTGGTGCTGGAGAGCCCAAGCCCAGAGATGGGAACAGTATTCCATGTGCGACCGAACCTGCGCCTTGTAAAGTTGCAGGTTGTGTGTCGGCATCAAATACTGTCCAGCCCTGCTGAGAACGCCAAGCTTTTTAGAGGCAAATTTGGCCTTCTCTTGGAAGAAAATTTTGTTTGAAAATTCGTCACTTGATATGTCGACGCCGAGGATTCTGATACTGGCTGAGGCAACAGAAGGAGTGCCTTGAAACTGAGGAGATACGACAAAGGGGTTCTTTTTAGCGGTTAACGCGCAACTAAAATGTGTCTTCTGAGGGTTAAACTGGACTAGATTTAGTCGCCCCCAATCCGAGACTCTGTTTAGCAAAACTCGACTTCAGACACAAGTTTGTCCCGGTACTCGGAGACGTTTTCCCAAGAAATATTGGCACGGCCGGTGTAAAAAGCATCACCAGTGCTGTCATCTGCATAGCAATGAATGTTACGGGTTTGCAACATATCATTGATATGCAGAAGAAACAGCGTTGGCGATAGCTGCGTGCTATCGCCAACGCGCCAAGTGCGTTACCGGCCCTTTAGAAAGGAGTACGCTCTTTTCTTGAAGGTTCCCAGGTCGTATCGGACTCCCCCTGTTCAGCAAAGACTCGACTTCAGACACAAGTTTGTCCCGGCACTCGGAGACGTTTACCCGAGAAATCTAAGTGCTGTCATCTGCATAGCAATAAATGTTACGGGTTTGCAACATATCGTTGATATGCAAAAGAAAAAGCAGCGTTGGCGATAGCACGCAGCCTTGTTGAACACCAGCATTAATAGGCTTGTAATCGGAGCTTGCACCGTCTACAACGACCTGGATGCTCCGATCTGCAAGAAAACTGGTAATGCAATCGCACAATTTCTCGGGAAGCCCATAGGAAGGGAGTTTCGAAAGAAGCGCTTTTGTGCCAAACCCGATCGAAGGCTTTCGCAATGTCCAAACTAACAATCAATGCCAAACTAATCAGCTGGTGATCCTCAAGGTACCTCATGAGCTGGCAGTTAACAATAGACTCCATTGTTTTGGAACAAGGAGGTGATGGCGATTGGGCGTTAGTTGGACGGGTCTGAGCGGTCGCCTTTTTTAGGGATCGGGTGGACAAAAGTCTTCCATGATTTTGGGACTACGGCTAGGGAGTAGGAGTACCGAAAAAGACGCGTTGAAACCGGTGCCAACTCTGGAGCACACGTCGTCAGGGATACCGTCAGACCCACTTGACTTGTGGATGTCCAGGGAGAGGAGTGCTTTGTGAACCGAGCGCTGAGTAAACTGCACTTCCGGCATGGAGCACTCACACCACGGGATGGTCGGCGGCGTACGCCCCCCCACCCAGAGTCGAGTTGGACGTAAAGAAAGAGCCTAGCAGATCGGCTTTCTCCCTTACGGTATGGGCCAGTGAGTCGT